TCAAATATCTCGAAGTCTCTGTAAGGTTTTGTTTTGTGCTAGACTTGTAAAATGGTGGTCCAGAACTTTGTCTGCTAAAATAAATAAAGGAATAAATAAACTAAAATTCTACACTTTTCCCAGCTTACATGGAAACAATATTTAAACGAAGCCTGTTCTCTTGTTGGGAGATAAATAAAATCTATCAAAATCACAAGCGCTTTCTTTTTCCTAACTAACATGATCAAGTTGATTCCCCATACTCGATCGAAATAATGATATTTGAAATAAAAGACGACATTATCGAGCATTTCTTGAAATATTAGCTTTGTTATTCTGATGTGTTAACCGTGGTGGATGAAATATTTCAATATGTTGATCCAGAATGAAAGCCCCTTAATCGATAATGAAAGAGCCTTAATCGATAATGGAGAAACTGAATCCTATTGCTTGACGATGAATAGTATATCTTCCAAAGAGGAAAAAATATTGCATTGCTTAAATAATATCAACAACGACTGACTTTAATGCACTCATCTTGGTAGAGGATCAAATATAATTAACTCTCGGTGAGAATAGCTTCTTCCCCAGAATTTGTGCATTGTGGAACTGACATTCGAGGGGATATCACTACAATTTTTACCATTTCAGGTCGACAGTCAACCGTTATCTGTCCTACATATACTCATAATATGCACCTGTTGCTCCGACTCTATAGATCCTTACAACAACCTCTACCTTGAATGGCTCTGGTATTAGGCCGTGGATTGGGTGAGCAACAGTACAAATATATTACAATTTTATTGGTTCTTTGAGATTTGTTGCATCTTCACCAGAGGTCCATAATTTCCGATTTTGATCATTCTATTTATATACTAAGGATTAATTTCTTTTTGCTAAACTAGCAAACAGAGACAAAAGATTGGCGCATAACAGCCTAGATTGTAGCTGTATATATTATCTGGGAATTATATTTCTCAGATAATATATAGAACTACAATCAAAACTGTGGGGTTTTTTTTTACCGAGGATTGTTTCAGTTTTTTTTTTTTTAATGCCATGTTCTTTCAGGACGTAGGCGATTATGACTCTTCACAGCTTTCTTTTCTATCTTTTCTCTGAATTGCCATAAATTCTAGGGAATGTAGATTCCAAATGCATTCTCCATGCTTTGAAATTCAGAGTTTCCCTTGTATTAGACATTTTTCCACCGAAATATACCTGTCTATTTAACCCATGCCTGGGAAGCGAAGTAATAGATTCATGACAGATTCCTAGTGTGTTTTTGCAAAAGTGAACGGAACATAGTAGCAGAATTCATTTTCTGTACCGATATCCGTTACACTACCTGCCCTTCTGGTTAGCAAATTGAAAATAAAAATGGAAAATAGGTTAAACCTCAGATAATTTCACCGCTGCTCGCATTCTCTAGAAACAGGAAAGCTAACTTTTATTTCATACTATCTAAATATAAAATCCTATTACAATTATTTCCACCTAAAGCCAATGAAAATGTGAATTTCTGTTGACAACAATTTAGCATTTGTTAGTTAGTAACACATAATAAATGAATATATTTGGTTGAGATTTCATGTAAATCATGTCACAAAACCCGTAACTAATGAGGAGTGTAAAGATTCCACGTGTACTGCAGGCACAGCAGTAATGGTGTGTCTCGTGCAAGACATCCCATTCCTGTTCTGACTGGTTCTGAATATAGAGTTTTCCTTCTCTTAGACTGGTTGCCACGAGAGAGCCTGGTCTATCCTGCTATTTAACTAGATACCGCCATGGTCTTACTAATGAAAAACTTAAAAAAAAACGCATTTTAAATTTTCATTGTATTTAAATGATGCTAGTCAAAAGTTAATCCGTAAAAACAAAAATAATTTCACTTTATTTAAAGATTTTAGATATTTTAGGATACAAATATAAAACCAAACCCACTTCTACTTCGTTCGATTAACTAATTTTATAGAGGCCGACAAAAGAGAAATGAAAGCTCTTTAAAATATTTTTCAAATCCGATATATGCCCCAGATATCTCTTTCAAAGAAAAATAGTAAAGTTAAAGATTAATTAACTAGATTTTGAAAAATTTTACTTAATTTTTGCTTAAAATACATTTTCCATCAACAGGGTATGTTGTTGCTTGGCAACACATTCAAAGACCAAACAATAGTCTCTTCCCACGCGTCCAACTCTTTAAAATAATTGCGCCATAAATCAAATCGAATACGTAAAGCCATACCTGCCACAAGAAACTTCTTTTCTTTGAAGAAAAAAGTTTACAAATATTTAAACTTCATGAAATTTTAAATATTAGATAATTTTGAGTCTCTCACATTATCAAAAGGAATATGAAAAATAAAAATAAGGAATTTTTTTTTAAAATGGTTAAATAATATGACTCATTACAATACTTTTTTGATAATTATATTGATATCAAAATATTTCATTGCATTCAACGAGATCTTTTGAATTATTTTCATGAGGAAATTTATTGAACGAAAAATAAAATGGGAAAGAAGTTATTGAATCGATCGTTAATTCTTTTTGCTTTTTTATTCCTTTTCGCTACCAATGTCATAAAACATTTTTGATACATTAGAAAACATTTTAGAAAAATTTGGGGAAATATAATACAGATCAATGACAATACCTTAATTTATTCTCTAGAATTCAAGTAATTTTAGTACCTTTATTTTTTGACTGTGTTGCTGACATTATTATGATAACAACACAAATGTGATTAAACCGGCTAAAATACTATTAACATGAGTAGATTAGTTAACGCTTTCTATCATTTTTTTCTTTTATTTTTCCGTCTTGGATTACAACTCTTTTTTTTATAGCAGTCTTCATGAATTACTGGTCGAGGCACATAGTTCAGAATTTGATTTTTGAGTTTCATTTTTGATCTTCCGTAGAATAAAAAATCGAACAGTTCTGAAATTAAAACATGTATAATTTTTAAAAATGTTCATATTAAACAAGACCATGGGCAACCTCTTTCGAACAGTAAGCTTGATTAGATATAACTAATTATAAGGTTGACCGCTATATTAAAGAAAAATTCAAGGTCATTTTTCCGTGAAGGTATTGCAGCCATTTTATCTGTAGGAGACCTTACGCCTTGACAATGGGGGGAAATTGATTTGTTTCTGGAGAATATGTTTTTTATAATTCAAATATTGAAGTGATACAAAATTCCAGAAACATTTTACTTAACCATTGAACACTATAGATCTTCTGAGGACAGTTTTACAGCGCCAGTCAACGAGGTTCGAACTTTGTTGACTAGCGCTGCAGAATCACAAACAGAGTCCTGCACTAAATAACAGAAATGAGATCACTAAACGACTTTCAACGGTAGCAACAACTAAAATCTTTATCACATGTAACTCGAAAAGAAAATAACGAAAGTTGGTGACGTTCCACACTACTTTGAACAAAAGGTTAGGAAGGAAACCTCCGACAATATTGGAAAGAGTGATAACAGTAAACATGAGAAACCCATTTTCCTAACAAATTGATTTAATAGCAAGATTTTATAAATTTCACTGACCATATCACTTGCTGTTTGGTCAATAAATGCCGAATGTTTCTATATAAGGAAACAGTTAACATAACCTTTCCCAGTACTATGGATGTGGCTTAGTGGAACTGTACCAACCACACAGTACAAATCAAGGTAAGTTAGTCGAGTGTTGAATAGTTATTCTCCTTTAACACCAGCTTTCATAAACTTTCTTGAGTCAGTGTGAGTCAACAAGTGAGAATGAATAGAAACAAAAAAATTATAATAAACTTTATACATAAAAGTAAGCTTGCTATTCAGAAATCCAACCAGAACGCAGTATTAGACTATGAATTGCATTTCGATCAGTCGAAATCCCATTAACTGTTCTTATTCACGATTGAACATAAAAAAGATCGATTGGAAAGATAGTATTTTAATTTTTAACATAGTATATAACAGATCACTGCTGGTATTCCACAAGCTTCGTTTTGTCCTCAAAAGTTTTAAAAATATTTAGAAATTCAAAACGTTTAGTCATGAATCTCAGTGAAATTCAAGAATTCTCTCAAATGAATTTTATTAATTAATTCAGATTAACATACTAGTTTATAGTTAATATGATGTGAATAATGCAGGTAGCTTTCGCGTGAGTTCGAGTCTAGCTAAAAGCTACTTCTTTGTTCAAGCTCTCTTTAATTGAACATAAAGGCTGAAGAACAGATCGACCAAAAACATTCAGAAAAAAATGAATATAAATATCTTCTTTCGGATAAAATTTCTGTTTTAAGGAATTGTCGCAATAATTTTGTAAACATGACAAGCATCGAATAAACATTTTGATTCAACAGGTGATTTAATTTAGATAATAATAGTAACAAATGGTAGGTAAAAAAATGTGGAATTTAAAAAACAGGTTTCTGCACAAAATATTTTATTCATTTTATCGCATTCAATCCTTTATTCAGAAACTACAATTTTGTCCAGCACATTAAAATTTCAATGTCTGTTTCTTCTGCAGATTTTTCACTTCTATTTTGGTTCTTAATTAATTGCACAAACATAGAGAAAATAGTCACGCTAACAGCAAATCTAAGGTTACATAAAACCAGAAACAGAAAACGAAGATTAAAAAAGAGATAAAAGGAAGAACATTAGAAAATACGAGTTTAAATGTAAGAGACAAGTGGAGTCATGAAATAATAGACAGTCTTTTTATCAACATCTGTGAAATTTTCATAGATTCTGCTTGTTTGAAAAGAAATGTATGAGAAACAGATACTCTAAACAAAATAAAGAAGGCAAATACCATCACCAATAATAATAATAATCTAAACCTCCAGAAATCCCTCCTTAAAAGCATCTCCATATCTCAGTGTGAAAATAAAATCAAACCTTACTCTCAACCCCGACTGTTATTCCTGACCCCAAACATATAATGAAGAATTTTCTTTTCACTAATGTCTCTTAAAATTGTCAAGCAAGTCTAAAAAAATGTTTGCTAGAAATAGAGAAAGAAGGGTTGACCAACGAATGAAAGTGAGTGATGCGAAATGCATTTGTCTGAAAGGTGAGAGAGATTAGCATTCGGAAGGAAGGTGGGGTTGGGTACTAGAAACGAAGGTTGGCTTGACCCGATGCAAAGTAGTAGGGCTAAAAAGATAGATGAGAGTCAGGGGGATAAAGTATGGGTGGGGGAGGTAGAGACAAAAATCAGCAGAACTAAAAGATAACTGTTTGAAAAGATACACGTGAAAACTATGAATTTAAGATAATTCAGATATTGGTTGGGTGGACAAAAAAAAGACAAAAGAAAAATCTCACTAGAAGAAAAGAGAGGACATCTACGACGCTGAGGAAGTGAATGCCAAATGTGGGAGGGGGAAAGTCTTTTTCATTTTTAAGAAACCGAAAATATCGATTTTGAAATGAGAATGGACAATGTTCTGGCAATGAATATTCTATTCGTTGCAAGAAACAGGAGGGAAGTTAGGGTGTGCCTCGTCATGGAAGAATGATACCGAGTTCGATCCTCACCTGTTCCCTCACGCTCATAGATATGGCCTTTTAACTAAGATTACTTCGTGAGTCAGTTGGATCAAGAACTTTTCAACGCGCTTTCCTTTTTTTTCCTGGAAGTTCTCTAAACTGAAAAAGCAAGTAAAGATTTCGTCATTTTCACATATTATCTCAGTAGCGTTATTATTATTTACTTTGATTTCTTGTATATACTTATTTCTTTCCGAGTTCCAACCAGAAACCTAAGGTCAGAGATGGCATTATGACATATTCCACTGAGTATTTTTGAGGAAACAAAGAACAAAAAAAAAAAAACAAACAAACCTAAGATCACACATATTTTACATAGATAAGGCGTGGGCTGTACTTGTGAGTACAATTTTTTGTATTTCTTTAAGGCTTGGGCTACCAGTAATCTCTTCAATGAGTCTATCGAAACCTTTTCCAATCAAACTGAGGGCTCCAACTACAACTGAAATTGATGATACCCTCATGTGCCACATGTTTTAGATTTCGATTTCAAGGCTCCTGTATTTTGATAGTTTTTTGAATATCTTCAAAGATACATAACAGTCTGCAGGGACTGCCATGCCAATAAGAAAATTATTATTATTATTATTATTATTATTATCATTATTATATATTCGTCACCCCTATCGGAAGTTTTATATTCTGTAGTTAACTCCAAAATAAATAATTCAAAATATCGTATATTAAGACCATTTAACACCTATCTAGCTCGTTGCAGCTAATCAAATTGGAATCGATTCCACAGGTAGTCGGAAGATCTCTGGGGAGTCATGCTGTCCAGAAAACTGTCATAGCTCCCTGATATTAATAGATGTAGGACCTCGCATGCGAATAGACTTCTACATCTATTTCCATAAATGTTCAATGCCACGGTGTATTATCCTATTAGAATAACTCCCACTTGTTGGAGTCCACGGAGTCCATACATGATTGCAAATAGTTACGAGGCATTGTAACGTAGAGACCATCAGTCAATGATATATTTAGGCGGACTAGTAAAACCAAACCATATTATTTGAACATACAACACAACATCATGGAACTACTCACTATCAGCTTGCCATAATTCACAACTAAGATCCATGACCTCATGGGTCGGTGACATTCTTGAATCTGTTCTCGAGACCATATCGCACGTTGCCAGCTTTCCACGGTTCATTTAAGAACATCAGGACCCTAAGTGAGGCGTTTTGTCTGGTGTTGTTGTGTTAACAGGGTCATCCTGGTGGGTCTTCTGTTCCCATATCCTAAAGAAGTTAAATAATGCAGAACCGACCTGCTGGATATGACTGGTACCTCCCGCATTGAATGTGGATATGATTTGTCGCTTGTTTGGTAGCACAAATAATTCTAGGCAGAATTTCTGGTCATGATCATTCATGATCGGTCACTCTGCTTTCCACACTAGGAAAAGATTTCCAGTTATTTTCTGTCCATTCGTGATACCGTAACTATTTCAGAAATTGAATTTCCTATTCATTCGGTACGCACTACCTTGCTCAGTTCGAACTCCGAGAAATTACTTCACCTTGCCATGACCAAATTTGTTAAGGTTCATATTGATTTAACAGATATCAGGGCACAACTGTTATAGATCTGTGCATTTCATCTTTTAGTTTAGCTAATTGTTTATGACATTTTATGTTTCTTACTAACTTAGTAAGAAATTTCATAAACAGATACTTTTTAGGATACAATAAAGGAGCTAAAATAAGCAATTTACGTAGCGTGTTTAATGCAGCGGACAAAACTAGGAATTTATATGAATTAAAGCCCACAGAACACAACAAACTACTCAAGGAAAACATTGGCTAAAACATTAAAAACACGAAAAACTACAGAACGCGATATTAAGATGGGAGTTAAAAATGTCGCCCAAACATTAGACCCAGACGACCGAATAAATTGCAGTCCTAAATCACAAGCATTCTTTTCACTAAAAAACCACAAAGAAAACTTCAAAACAAACATACAGACTCATAAACTTAACCAAAAATGAACTAGGTAAAATAAGTAAAACAATACCAGAAATAATTAATTCAGAGCTAAGGAAGAAGGTAGGAGTAAATCAGTGGAAAAACACAAAAACAACTATAAATTGGTTCTGTAACCGAAAAAAACAAACATGATTACGAATTTATACAACTAGAAATAAAATATTTCTATAACAGAAGCCATGCTAGACAAGGCCAACTAATTAGCTTAGGAACAAATAAGAGTAATCAGAAACGAAGTAAATATCATTAAATCCTGAAAATCACTATTATTAGACAACGAAGACTCGTGGATAAATGATAAGCTTTGATGGCGCAGAAATAGGTATATAATTATTCCATGAACTAAGTAAAAAAAATCGATAAAATATAGTATAGGCCTCTACAGAGACGATGGTCTCATAATCGTAAGAAAAACAGCACCTGAAAAATAATCATAAAAATTTTCAAAAATATAGGATTCGACATAGACATAAAAATTAACCTAAAAGAAGTAGATTTCCCCGATGTCGCATTCAAATGGTACATATCAACCACACAAAAAAAAAACAATAACAAATCACTTTAGATAAATAATCACGAAAATAACCAATAAATAATCAAGTAGATGCAAACAATTGATCACAGGTTATGTAACAATTCTTCCAGCGAAATTACCTTCAACAAAGCTAAGGAAGATTATGATATAGCCCTAAAAGATAGTGAATTTTTAGCAATACTCACATACACACCGCAAAGTAGCCAACAGGAAAAGAAACGGGATGGTTCAATCCTTTTGTACAACAAAAAGCGTAAAAACAAACGTTATATATATATATATATATATATATATATATATATATATATATATATATATATAATTTTTTTTTATTTTTATTTGATATATTTGTTTAATATTACTTTTAGTAGATGCCCGTATTTCAGTAAACGCTCTGTTTATCTTATTATTTATTTCAACTGCCAGGCCGCATACTTGAGAAAATTTATTAAAGAATATGTGCCCTCCAGCAAAATTCAAAACTGCGTCGTCCTCATTTTCAGGTTGAGCCACAGTCTGATCAGGTGTGCTTTGTCCGTTCGGCTCCGAAGAGCTTCATAATCATAAGTGGTTCTATTTTGTGAAGCTTTTCGTAGTGGAGCGGTGAAAGCACTTCGAATCAGACGGTGGTACCACCAAACAAAGGGAGACACAAGTTCAAATGTTGATAGAGGTCATTTTCTTTGTTAAGATTTCTCTAGTACGCAGGCCGGTTGACGAAACAAATACTGTTTACAATAAACGGAGCGTCTACGCAAATACCGCTATCCACTACAAATAACGCTTGAATTAATATATATACATACATACATACATATATATATATATATATATATATATATATATATATATATATATATATATATATATATCACAGACACACACATATAATTACATGGGGCCCTGTTCAAATGTTCGACAACCTTAAGCGGTGGAATTGTTTCCTCGAAAGAAGCTTCTATCTGATAGGCTGTCAAGTTACATCAAGTTATCCCAAAATGGTTTCATACTTTTCTGAGCAGGACTCCAATCTTTATCACACACTCTCTCTCTCTCTCTCTCTCTCTCCCACACACACAATATCCTCTCTCTCTCTCTCCATCTCTCTATTCCTGTCATGTCCCTTGGCGACTTCAGAGATTATTGGTCATCGCAGCTTTCGATATTTATAGTTCAAGTCTATATATCTCCGAAATCCTTAGATTCCCTTGCTTTTGATGCGTCCAGTTTGTTAAATTTTCCAGGCCGGGTTTTGTACCCCCAAATCCCGTTAACTGATGGTTCGTTGTACTTCCTATTCTTTGTAAAACCTGATTTATTACATTATCTTTCCATATGTATTCTCACCTTTCTTCGGTAAAACAACGTCTGTTGCATCAAATTGCTCTCTTAACTTGTGGTGAATATGTCCTGCATTCGTAATCCCTTAGCAAATTAGACACATTACTTAGCAGCCCAGCACACATTTTTAGTTCTTATATACATTTTTCTATGCCGTAAAAGGTTGCTTAGTTTCTGGAAGCACCTTGCGGTATTCTCATGTCCATTTGGATTTCTGTCACACTTTATGCATCTGATTGATTTTGACATCCCCTATATGCAAAATTGCCGCTTACGCCTGTCCTTTTTGCTTGCAACTATGAATTCATCTTTCTTACAATCAATTGTTAGTTCATTGCCCTTGATTTTGTTAATATCTTTAATAATCCTTTCAGGTTTTCACTTTCGTTCGTCAACAATTCTCTTACACTACACAATTCTTTCTGAACGTTATCCGATGTTTGGCAGATTAGTTTTGTATTGCGACTGGATTTTATCCTCGTTGTAGCCTTATGTCAGATTTGATTCGAGTAAGTCAATATTCACATAGGTACTTGCTTATTTTTGTCGAACTGACGAAAAGAGAAAGTTTGGGTCGGAGGGGCAAGGAGATAAAATCACAGGAAGCGAAGAACTGATAATTCTTGACTTCTGAGCTATGAAATGGATCAACGATAAAGAAGCAGATGGCGAGTCACAAGAACCACAAAAAATGACACGAAAGCCTCAAAAGGGTCTTAAAATGAGACAGGCATTCTAATAATGAAGCAGAAAGAGAAAAAAAACTTTTTTAATTACGCTCATGCGAAGTACAAACGGACAATTAATGGCGTCTACATATATTTCCATGTATGTAAGCAGATAGTCATTAACTGACTTAAGTATGAATAGACTGAAATAGACAGATACATATTAACACACTGAGATAGATAGATAGATAGATAGATAGATAGATAGATAGATAGATAGATAGATAGATAGATAGATATGATTAGACTTAGATAGATATTAACAAACATATATATATATAAAATATATATATATATATATATATATATATATACAAAAACAGTCCATAAATACTTACATGACATCTAACATTACTGTTTACGTAAAATATAAGTACTTACAAACGCTCACAAAAAAACGTTGAAAATTTCTTTGAAATCTCCATAATTACACATTTATAGACGGATGTGTCTTCACATAAAATGCAAGATAGATGGTCGAATCTCACGCAAAAATGTTTATACATCACGAAATGACAATGGCGATGAGCAAGTGGAATTTGGGACCGTTTTTCTGATAACTTTTTCAGTCAGTATCGTTCGAGAGAAGCTCATTTCATGCACCAACGGAAATCTATTTTTTATTCTGTTGTTTATTAAGCAGGACTGGCACAAGGCCACAGTCCCGTGGAACATTGTGCAAATCAAACTCTCTCTTCCCCCCTCTTCCTCCTCCCTTTCTCTCTCTTTCTTTATGGGCAGTGTTCCTTCAGGACATGAATAATCATTGTTTTCAACAACTCCTTTTTTTCATGACCCTTAATCCTCAAAAGTAGGTTACCTGATACCGTTTTCTGCTTTTCTTGCCTTTGATCTGTCCTGTGAGTGTTAAATTCGCCAAGCATTGTTTTCTTATTATGTGTCTAACATTTACACCGTTCTTGTTTTTTTTTTTTAACTTGCTTATATGTCGCGTTCACTGTCGATGGTATTCTCAACATTCGTCGGCAAAGCCACATCTCCGTCGCTACAAGCGTTATTTTTCGGTTACAATATTAATGAGCACTAAACAATGGCTACAATGCAACATTTCGGATCTTAGACTTTTAATATTCTATAGATTTGACTAGATTTTGATTTTTTTGGAGCCAATTTGTTTTTACTTGCAAATTTTGTTCTATTGAACTGGGACTGAAGTTGTATTTATAAGTCAGCATTGAATGATTTTAGGTGTGGATCCTTGTGAGAAGTTACAATGGATAACAAAATCCGAAACTATTCCAATGGAAATATTACGGCGACCAGAATAAATTATTTAGAAATTTTACCCTAGTCTGGCACAAATGCAAAACTGGAGTACGAATTAAATTCATGACAAAAGTGAACTGTTTTTAAGACCAATATGTAAATGATTACACTATATCAAGCGACCAAAGATATTCGTCATTTCGATTGTTCTAATAGAATATCACACTAAAGAATAAATTCCATCCAATAAGACGAGAGAAAATGCCGGATTAATTTAATAATAATCATGATATGGTAATCATTGTCACAGAAGGATTACAAAGAGTGTCTTAGTTTGGCACAGGGATGCTTATTAGAGGGTAGCCAAGGGCTTACATACATACATACATACACACGCACATATTCATATATATATATATATATATATATATATAAGTATAGGATTGTTTTAGACGGAATAAATTCCAATAACCAAAAATACTATTCTTAAAAGAGTGATCAATGCATAGTAGAGCAAATATTATTTATTCAAATATTATAACAAGTTATAACATCACTAAAACATGTTGATGTTATAATGTTTGAATAAATAAAAATATTATATATATATATATATATATATATATATATATATAGACACAGGGTGAGATGTATAAATTGTAGTCATTTTATATTTTTAATTTCCTTTTGTGCGTGTTGTTGTTTTTGTTGTTTTTGTTTTATTTTATTTTGTCGACTGCACAGTAGAGTAGGGTCAGTTGGGCACCGTCTGTGAGAAAAAGAGCACAATGACGCAACTCATGATATATCCAGTCAATATCTTGGTGTTTGGAGTGATCACTAGTGATGGCGACGTTATATCTTCATTCATCATCCCACAGAGCCTTAGACTTAACACCGAGGCCTTGAGGGGGTAATGCTCCTCTGTATCAAAATTTGCGAAACTATTCATAGGAGACACTCTCGCGACTATAAATACTCGCGATAATTTTTCTCTCTCTCTTCTCCCCTTATCCGCTTATTCGTCAACATGTAACCTCACAGAGAACGCATTCCCTTTGGGAAACGCATGGACAATATATACATACATACATACACACACACACACACACAAACACACACAGGTACGTGCACACATTTACTCACTACTCATACTTTTAACCAAAATTTTTTCACATTCGTTTTTTACACACTTTATTGTCTTTGTCGCATGTATACTATTATTGTTAATACATTATCATATTATTATTATATATTGGTTCTTGTCATTTCCTTCATTTATTTACGTGGACTCACATCCCGAGTTTGCCATGTTTATTGTGGGTATTTTATGAGACACCGGTGTTTATCTCTCAACGCATACACCCGCCCGCAACACCCTGTCAGACAATATCTACAACAGCATCACTGCTTAAGTCTGGTCACCTAACTCCACAGGCAGCAACACCTTTGATTATTATGTATGGGGCGCATGTGAGCAAAACTCCTTCTAACATGAAGGCAAGCATTATAGATTAAACAAGAAAACCATCCAGAAGAGTTGCAGGAGATTCCGAAGTCGTCTGGAGGTCGTGGCTGAAGCCAATGGCGATTTTATTGAATAAATTTACTCTTTAGTATTTCAAGATATTTTTGTGTAATTTGGGTAAATATATCTATTAAAATGAAATGTCAGTGTTGTTTTCATTTTTGCGTCATTTAGACGACAATTTATCGATCGCACCTTGCATCTAAAAGTGAACAATGAATTAAACACCAAGCGTCACCAGATAATTCATGCCTCAACGAAATCTTTAGACTACGAAGATGAGCTGAATATTTCATTAAAGGATGAAATAGAAAGCCGCCGCTTGCTGTTGACCTCAGTGTTCACTTTTATATTTATATTTACACACGCTCTATCTCTGATATTTAGCACCTTTACTCGTAAATGTAGCATACCTTAAAATAATATATATATATATATATATATATATATATATATATATATATATATATATATAATATTTATTTAAAAATATGATTCCAACTCGCGACATAAGAGGTGTCATGTTTCAAAACAAGAGCCGAAAACTTACCCTGACTTGACAGCTATGAAAGTAACTCTATACTGATACTTATTATTAACACCCAACACACGCCTACCCAATTTAAACAATTCGCCCTAGCTGTTACCATGCAAATTTTGATTTCAATTATTAAAACACGTAAAGTTCTGAAATAAGTTATTCCAAAAAAAAATTCGCTTGAAGATGGAACAGAGCTTTCTTTAACTCAATTTAATTCAAATAATTATATTGAAGTTTTCGGCTCTTGTTTTGAAACATGAGACCTCTTATGTCGCGAGTTGGAATCATATTTTTAAATAAATAATTATACTTATGCTCTACATTTGTATCGAGCACTATTTTAAAAAAATAATAACTAAAATGCTAAGGAGCTTTGGATCTACCTAACCAGTTCTTTCCTATTTTCTATATATTTTCATTATATATATATATATATATATATATATGCAAACAGAACAATACTTTCTAAATATATGCAAAATTAAAAGCAAAACCCAAATTATACCAAAAATATAATGGAGAATAAGGAATCAGCATCAGCCTACAAAAAATCTTTAAGTATACAAATAGAAAAAAATTCCGTAAGATTTTTTTGCCGTTAACAATAATTTTTTTTTTAAATACAGACGACATGCATTTAACGGATGTCAGAATTCATTGAAAAATACACCCTACACCTACCAAAATGTAACTAATAACTAATACAACAAAATACAGTGATAATGAACACGCAACCACCCCTTGTCTGGATTAATGGAAACGTGAATTATGAACTTTTGCAGTGCCTTTAAACCCCAGTAATTTTAAAAATAAGTTACTCCAAAATTCGCTTGAGGATGAAATGAAACTAATGTCTTTAATTTAATTACAAAATTAAATTCGAAGCTTTCAGGTTCCATTTTTGAAACATCGTTAGAACTGTGTAGCGAAAAAAAATATATTTTATATCGGTTAAATTATAATATATATATATATATATATATATATATATATATATATATATACAGAAAAATCCAAAATTACCTCATGTGTATATAGTCTATTTCAGACCAGTACTGCCATATGCCAGCCTTCTTCAGCTCTAGACTGACTGTCTCGGAATGGGTTTTTTTTTAGTTTAGTTTAGACAGCAGTCGGTGTAAATGAATAGGGCTACTTAAAGAGACGCCAAGTCTTGATAAGAAGTCTAGGTTGGTGAGATGGGCCGAGTGAAAGTTTACTTATGGTCAAAGCCTTTACTTGTATTTAAATGAATTTAGGTTCCTGCTAGTGGATCATATTAGTAAGTGGTGGGAGATTTAACACACACACACACACACACACACACAAACACACACACACACACACACACACACACACACACATATATATATATATATATATTAAGGTAATTAAAGATATTTTTCGTCCAATTTTTGGATTGATAGTTGCAGTCTATTCTAACTGTTATTTTGGCGGGAGTGGTTTGTTAATTTGTTTATTCATTTATTTACTTGGATTAATTTATTTTACTTGTTTTTTCATATTTATTTTTATTTAATATATTTTTATTTATTCTTTTCGGTTTTTGGTTTTTAAGTAACGTGATAAAATTTTTGAGATGAGTTCTGATCGTTTATATAGCAGTTTGTTATGATCGGAGAACGTAATTATGGCTACTTTTTCGTCCAATTTTTGTATTGATTGTTGTAGTCTATGCTAACGGTTATTTTGGCAGGAGTGATTTGTTAATTTGTTTTTATTTACTTTATTTATTTATTTGGATTGATTATTCTTACTTGTATTTTTCTTGATTATAGATGGCGGGTGATTGATTCATCTATAATGAAACAGATACCAAAATCAGTTAACCACAGGATTTCCGACAATTCTTCCAATAAAACCATATTTAACGAAGCTAAAATAAAATTACGAATTAGCCCTGAAAGATAGTGGATTCCCGGCAACATTCACATACTTACCACACAGGACAAAAAAAAAGTCATCAGGAAAAGAAATATCATATGGTTCAACCCACCGTATAGCAAAAACTTAAAAACAAACATAGGAAAAGTATTCTTCAAACTCTTAGATCAACACTTCCCAGAATCATGTACTCTGCACAAAATATTCAACAAAAACACAGTAAACTCAGCTACAGTTTCGTCGAGAACATGTCACAAATAATAAAAAAAGCACAACAGGAAAACTATCAACAAACCATCCGAACAAACTAAACACACATGTAACTGCAGAATGAAGATCGAATGTCCCTTAAACGGTAATTGCTTACAAAACAACGTAATATATCAAGCCACGGTAAAATCACCAGATAATGAAGAAAAATATACATAGGAGTAACTGAAGGGCTCTGGAAACAAGAAAACTATGCACGCCAAACATCTTTCAAAAATAGTAAATACGCGAACAACAAAATGCTTTCTAAGTATATCTGGGAAATTAAAATCAAAACGTGAATCACACCAAAAATATCATGAAAAATAAGGAAAATAAGATAACTACAACAATCATTCCAAAAGCCGCAAACTTTGCTAAGAGATAAAAAAAAAGGGATTATTATCTACCCAAATCAAACAAACTACTAAATAGGTAAACGGTTACAGAATAAGGGGCACTACCACAAGCAAGGTGCTAATACCACACTGGGTGGGGGGCTACAGGAAGTGAAAGAGAAGAGAAAGACTTTAGAGGGAACCAAAAACCAAATCCTAAACAGGAAACAAGTAATAAACCACTATTCTTGTTCAAAAGACCGAGGAACAGAAACATCTATGACAAAGTGGAAAAAATTCGGCTGACGCGTTTCATCCTTTGGGACTACATCGATAAAGTCCTAAACGACTTAAAATTAAAGACTTGTAGGTGACAAAGTAAGAAAGAGAGACAAAAGGGGAAATGAGAATAGGAAGGAAGAGAGTTAATTCCTGGCAAGAGAAATGGTCAAATTAAGCGGAAGAGGCACACTGATAGCATGAAAAGGAAGTAACTAAGAGCATGTTTAGTGCAAGAGAAAGAGAGAAATACTGACAGATTAATACGCCAAGTATGAGACGAGTGTCATGGATAGCAAGAAGGGCAACAATTAAGCGAGAATGTTGTTAGCGGAGGAGATAGCTAAACGATACGAGGAGATATGGCATTCTTGCGCAGAATACCAGGTAAGTAAGGTATCAAGTAGAGAGACAAAGACAAATGAAGGACTGGGCATTGCGAGAAAAGAAGAGAGTAAAAGGTTGACAGATTAAATGTCCGATATCTAGGTAAGAGACATTTTTTAATTATCACACTCCAAGCAAGGTGACAATATCACTAAGATGCAAGTAGTTACTGGGATTGACAGACAAGGAGTAAACATTAAGAGAAGGAACCAGAAACACAATCCTAAACAGGAAGCAAGGGAAGCTCTATTATTGGTCAAAAGATGAGTAAGGAGTGTCAACCGGGCGATAGTAAAAAGAGAAGGTGTAAGATGGAGAAGAGGCCATCATTCACAGAACACTAACGTAAATGGACATCTCTATGTGTCAAGAAAAGAGAAAGACGAAATAAAGAATTGTTATCGAAGGAGAAAGCAAAACGTTAACAAGAGATTTGAACCACACGCATAGAATGTCAGACAATATACTTGAATGTGTCAACAAAAGAGAAACAGATAGATAGATAGATAGATAGATAGATAGATATGAACAGATTGAGATAGATAGATAGATAGATAGATAGATAGATAGATAGATAGATATGAACAGATTGAGATAGATAGATAGGTAGATAGATAGATAGATAGATAGATAGATAGATAGAAAGCGGATTGTGAGCGTAGGATAAATCGAGACGCTAAGAGAAGAAATAACCTATATGCACAGAATAACAGGTAAGAGAGTTTTATGTGTCAATGAAAAAATATAAAAAATATGAGATAATCAGATATGCAGAGAGAGAAAGAGCAAACAATTTTAAAGGGTGGGTAAGGCGAAATGCTGACAAGGGAAAGGGATCATATGCGCAGAATGTCTTGTCTGAAAAATGAATTTGTCATGGAAACAGTCCCACAAATAGAGAGAAAGAGAGGGCAAGAAAGATATACAGAGGGGAATACCAAACATATTTATGGCTGAGGTACAAAATCAAAACTTAGATCGTTAAATTTGCTGACGGTTTGACCAAAATAATTTTTCCCCTTTCTCTTAATCTGTCCGCATATATGACTTTACATTTGGATACGATACTGAGCAGATACATCTATTTCGAGACTCAATGAGAAATCTGTGCACAATTCAACCTGGCCAAGAGATCTAAAGTACGTCAGACCTCATGACGGTTTTCCCTAGGGGAACATAGTTTCGAATCCTGGCGGAGAGCGCATATTTTTCTCTAAAAGTATTTCTCGAATATTCAGGCGAAAATAAATAAATAAATATACTGTTTAATAAATAAACTGAACGTCTATCCAAATACGCGTATCCACTAAAAATAACATTTACGTAATCCTATATATAAAGTACAGTGTATGTGTGTGTGTTTGTGCGTGTGTGTCCATACAACTCCGCTCACACTGGTCTGATTTCAAAGATTCATAGCTCATTCAAAAGCCCCAGAAAAGTAATACACAGGGAAAGATTTTCATTGAGCTCAAATTCAGGGTTGCCAGATTATGCGAAGGTAAAAATGTATATTAATATATTATCATAGCCATTATCATTGCTTTAATGGTCCAAGGAGAGTAACTCTAATTTTCCTTTTGTATTCAAAACTGCAGCTACCTTATAAATTTAAGCTAGCTTTAAAGCCTCCCAATCGAGCAGCATTTCTGTGGAGGAATCTTGATTTGGCCATCATCACAATAGCTAGGTGGGTGTAGATGCGATAGACATCAATAAACTACAGAAGAACTCAAAATTGATTGCTGCATTTAAGTATTGAATTAATGTTTAAGCTTACATTTTAAAAGTTCAACATTAATTCTGCTGCCAGTTAATTTAAAGACGATCCTTATTTTCCGTACAAACAATTATTTTTATTTCGTGAATGACAGAACAGGAGACAATTTATAAGATAATGTAATGTAAAGATGGGAAAACAGAAATTAGAATTAGTTATACATTCAACATTTGAAGAGTTAGAGAAACATAATAGCTAATTAAGTAAAACCTATATTATGGAATCTATATGAATAAATGGGAAATTGGAGTTCAATACTCCCAGGAATTCTGATATTAAAAAGCCCAGGTCTAGTTTATAGTACTTTACACACGGCATTTACTCTGTCTCCCCACTAAGTGCCATGTTCACCATAGTCTATGAATATAGAATACAGCGCAGTACGTAATCTGTTCAATGAAACAACGTTAAAGATTAACACTCACGATTCAGACACTCTGCTGAATCTGACTATATCGCCAATACCACCAGCAGCTGTTCCGTAATTCTTCAGTCTTCGATATCAAAGGCCGGCAGTGCATATTCGGGAAAAACATGGCCGCCTTTATACACGTCGCATTGAATATTTTGAGCTTTCTGATTGGTTAACCCTTCTATTGATGAACTATAAAATGAGTCAGCTCATTTTGGTTGGCTCACTAGTACACCAGGGTACGCAAAAATTCCAAGAACAAGGTCAGTTTTTAAGGTGTGACCCGAGCGCTTACACACGGGCTAGGAACAAAAGTTTCCCCAGCTCCAGCAACCGTCGGTTGCGCCAGCCTCGGTACGAGAACCGATCCCTCTCCCTGGTGCAATGAGAGAGCGCGCCCTTGGGCAGCTGTTCCCCAAAGCTGGGCACCTCTCAGTATAATTTTCCTTATTTACGAATCTGTCTTTTGACAGAGCCTCTCTTGAGCGCACGCTGCACGAAGACAGAGGCGCAACTGATGATAAATAATGTGTTACAAACTAATCGAGAGAGCAATTTGTATTTACTCAATCCACACGAGGTCAGGTTGTAACACAAGTTCGGTTTAATGTGGCGAACCCGAGCGCGTACACCCGGGCTAGGAAAAAATTTACTTGTCCAAACTAGGCATAGCCGTGATACTACCAGCGCAGGGACGGATTGCTGCGCTCAGTAAGTATCAATGTGTTAGAAACTACTCGAGAGAGCAGCTTACACACTAGGTATTTACTCTGTCTCCTTACTATGACAAATTGTGACATAAGGTTAGTTTTTAAGGTGGGGACTCGAACGCGTAAAACTGGGCTAGCACGAAATAAAAACTATAGACGAGACATCCCGAGGCATGTACAGGAGAACAAGAACAAAAATCTAAGCAGATTAAATAAAGGGTTCATTCCAAAATTCCTTGAAAGTTACTCGGATCAACAAGCACCTGATGAAGGCCGGAAGGCGCAACGGCCGAAATATTATAAGATGGGGACACTAATCCGTGTATAAATCATATATTTGTTCATATCTATGTACTCTACTCTCTTTTCTTTCTCTCTCTCTCTCTCTCTCTATATATATATATATATATATATATATATATATATATAGATAGATAGATAGATAGATAGATAGATAGATACACATAAGGATCTATACTGGAGTTGATAAAATTGCCGAATTATATTTTCGTCGGTCGAAATAAGCTTATTCCCCATATGATGTGATTTTGGATTTTGCTCCGTATTAAATAATACTTTGAGCTTTTTTGTGGATCAGTTTTAATATTTATATTACTAGGATACACTTGTATTATATACCAACGGATTTATTACCTTTACTATATATATATATATATATATATATATAGATAGATATATATATATATATATCAGTCTCGCATTATATCCTTCTAGCTTCTTCAGTTGATATGAATTAGTCTTCCTCTCTCTTCCCACACGCTCTCTTTCTCTTCGTGACAACAATGACTTGCATAATAAAATCTGACATCATGTATCTGCCAAAATCGATTATTTCGTTTCATGATAGTCCCAAGGATGGCAGTCTGTTGTGAACCGATTTCATATCCAATGATTTTCAGCGTACAACGATTTTTGAGTTAAAATGAATTTTCGATTTCATTAAAACTTCTTGCTAAATGTTGTCCGTTAATTTATTTGTTTCGTCTTCCATTAAAATATGTTTGTTGAAATGTTGAAATTTGATGTCCTATGTTCAGAAATAAATAACGATTTCAAGGACTTCGCGTGCAGAACTCGAATTTTCAGATCTTTGTGCTATTTGAATATTGCACAAAAATGCCTGTTTGTCTTGTACCTTGTCGTCATTGCTAGATTTTCAGATGTTTTTCAAGTTGCACTTCGTATCTTTCATTCATGTCAGAAATTGTGAGATCAACTTTATTGATTATCCAAATAGCTATGTTTGTTGTTCTATTCAAACGCTTCAATCGCAAACTTATCATTATGAAGAGGATATTCGTCTAAATAATTATTCTCTAAGTTAATATCCACTTAGTTAAACTAATTCTGTTTATTTTATCCTGATTAATAGTTAAGAAAAAAATCTTGTGAAATTTAATATTTCTTTTAATCTTATATCCGTTTTTCTAGTGAATAGGATTGTTTTTCTGATTTTATTGTATCTTATAAATTCGAACGGTTCAAATTTGATCAATACGATTCATACTCACGCAGGTTTACATTTACTGAAAAGGAAGAAATAATTTCAGTGTTTATAATTTGACACAGAATAATTCTAATCTTTTATCTATAGTAATTTACCTATATTCTCAAAAATTGCTATTTTTGTTAAGTCTTTGCTATTGTTTAATGGTGTAATGACATCAGATGACCAGTTTATAGCGGCGTTGAAGAAATAATTTTCTGGTGTTAGAGGAAGATGTATATTTATGTGTGATGGCTGTAGTGGATGTATTATTTAGTCATGACAAAAATTTTCCCCTACAACATCCGCCGCTCAGTGGGTGTTAGGAGAAGTCCCTGGCAGACAGAGTGAAATAATCCTGCAATAGTTTTACATGTGAACTCTTTAATTATATACACCGTACACTGTCAAAACTGACAGCGCTATTTACATATAGTTCAGTACTTTTACGGAAGATCAATGGAGTAGCTCTTTGCTCAGCCTAGAAGGGAAGCGAGAATAAAGGACTAACCGTAAGTTTTAAGTAAACAATGTATGGTTGTCAGCAAAAGAAACAACCTAGGATGGAAACTAAGGAATTGAAGGCACCAAATTCAAGTACAAACATTTAACTATCTAGGAAGTGTTTTGAAAGAGGAAAATGAAAGTCACACTGGAGGAGCGAAAGATGCCCTCCAAATGTTAAGCAACGTATTAAGAAACCGGAAAATTTCGTTAATATAAAGAAAAGAGTACTGGACTATTATGAAATATTGGTCTTTCTATATGGCATTGAATGCTGTACAATTTCATCACAGATGAAGAAGAGACTTGGGGCAAAAGAAATGTGGTTCTACAGGCGGATGATGAGAATACCATGGACTGAATATGTGAGCAAGTTTTAAGGATAATGGAAGTAAAAAAGAAAATTATACTTAACATCATAAAAAACAACTGTAATGTCTAGGGTCCATAATGAAGAGAGGGGGCTTAGAAAATGTAACACTTACAGGACATGCTAAAATCAAGAGTGACAGAGAAAATTAGAGAATAAACTACTTACCATGTTTGTTTAAATGGAAGTAGGAGGCATAGCAAAAAAAATCTCTGCTAAGAGCTGGAAAGGAAGTTGTGGAGAACCGTCATCGTTCATGCTCTAAAGAGACACGGTATATAAAAGAGAAAGAAGTTCATTTAGGGGATCATTGGTATAGTGGTATTTCTCTGCGCTATCCTTTGTCCCTGTACTCGAATTCAGGTAGAATTCTTTGATATATTTTATATATTGTGACTATTTTGGTGAAAAGTAACTGTTAAAAACTACAAATATTTGTTGTATATTACATAAACAGGTGTTAATATGACAATCGGGAATGCGAACATATTACATATTTTCACTTTTACCTAAAGCAGATGTTTCTTGCTTATTTTTCAGATTCCGCATCTCCAGGTGGACATTTTAAGAGAAGTCTGTGTTCTTACTGAACATTTTAAGCTTGTTTTGATGCCATACAAACTACTTAAAAAAAATAGTGATAAGGACGTATTCCACCTCAA